CCTAGACAGCTGTTTGAAATAGCCATCCAGGCTACTCTTGGCAGCAAAGTCATTGCAAGAGAAACGTAAGTTACATCTTTTTTCTTGTCTTTGGCTATCTTTAAGATATGAGGAAATGTTTATCTAATTTTCTTACATATTTTTTAAATTTGTCCATGCAGCCATAATTACAGATTTTGTTGTAAAATCTACCTACTTGAGGGAAAACAGCAGGAAGTTTTCCCCTTTGGCATCCAGTGGAAAACTTGTGTGTGTTGGTCTACATTTTTTTTTCTCATTTATGTAGAAGACTAATATTTGATCTTCAGATTTGAATCTAGTATTATTTTGATATAAGTAAAGTTACAGAAGAAAATTGTCATACAGGCAGTCCCCGGGTTATGTACAAGATAGGGACTGTAGGTTTGTTCTTAAGTTGAATCTGTATGTAAGTCGGAACTGGCGTCCAGATTCAGCCGCTGCTGAAACTGACCAAGACCAGGGGCACCGGAGCAACTTACGAACGGGGCTTTCTCGCCCCGGAGCTCGCAGGTAGCAATCCGCCACCTCGACCTCCGGGGCGAGAAAGCCCCGTTCGTAAGTGCGGATCCGATGTAAGTCGGATCCGCGTAAGTCGGGGACTGCCTGTATTATAAACTTATTCGGTATAAAACCAGACAATACAATGTTGGATTGAGCACAGTGAATCACAATAGAGTGATTTCTGGGATGGGTAGAATAGTTTCCCACCAACAAAACAAGTAGATGGTGAACACTAAGACCCTGGGAATTGAGCAAAGGCCCACTCCAAAGAAAGTGTAATGCATGCTATACCAGCCAGCTGTTCACTCCAAAGCAACTATGGTTTCTTGGTGTGATCCTTGTGCAGTCAGCTTTTGTTGCTGCAAAGGATTGTGGGATTTGTGCTGTGGTAAGTAACCCGAGGTGGCTTTTGAGTGTCAAGTGGAAATGATTACGAATCACTGCTTAATATACGCTAAAATATTAATAATAGAAATCACAGCACATTTAATAAGCTAATCATATAGATGGTAGCCCATTTTTCAGTTCATTTGCAATAAAATTGTGCTACTGGCTCCATTAGGTTTTCTATTTTTGCATAGTGACGTATTGTAAACTTTCAAGTGTGAAAGTCAATTTGAAATATCTATACATGCTTTGATAGATGCCTCCAAAATTCAAAAATATCATAGTTTGAGGCTTAGCTCTCTAAATGACTTGGACTAGAAGATTTGAAAAGAAATGGTGATCTGTATACATACCATCCAAGCAACTTAGAAAAACTACCTCCAAATATTTTGCCACCTATAGATTTGGGGCTAGTACTGGGTACTTCATGAAATAAAGTTGGTCTTGCATGCAGGAAATGCACTGATATATTGATATATACAGATATATGGTATCTTCTCTCTTACAGGGTAAAAGCTTACAGAAAGAATGTTCTGGCAAAATGTGTAGGTATTTCTCAATTTGAATATTGACTGCTGAAGTGGCTCAGATGGGGGATATAATCTTATTTCTTTATTCTCCCATGGCCCTCTCCTCCCCCTACCACACAGTTTCATTTTTTGCACTTAGTTTCTCTCATGGCTCACTTCTCTCTCACTCTTTCAAGCCCCAGTGACAAGATAATCTTATTTATCCCATTATATTTAGATTTTCATTCTAAACTAGTTTCCCCTTTGTAGTCTGTTGTGACTACTTTCATTGTACTTGCACTGTGGTTCAGAGAAACTGACTTTTTCAAAGCTGCACATCTATTATACACAGAGTATCATTCATTATCCCACAGTTTTCCCAAATGACATGGATGAGCAGATGGTTTGAACATTTCCCTGTAGAGACTGGTTGTGACTAGGCTTGAGTTTGGCTGTCAAGATTATGCAGATTAAAGGATGTAATGCTTAAACATGGCAGGGGGTACATCTACACTGCACTGCTATTTTGAAATAGTTTCAAGATTTAAAACAGATTTCGAGTTTAGGGTGCTGTGTAGATGCATCCTTAGATATCAGATTTAAGTAACATGCGCACTATTTTGATATCCCGGAAAAGTTACACAACACAACTTTCCTTAGTCATAGCAGGTATCAAACCACTATAGCCTCTCTTGACAAGCTTGTGTGATAGATGAGATAATGGAAGAAATCATCTCCTGCTTGTATGAATGCCTAAATTATAGATTGTTCACTGGCGCCTCTTCTTCTTTAAATATTGTAATTTGTGATGACTGTTGGGAGTTGGACTGATCTTAGGTTACATCATTTCAAAAACTGATTTCTGTATAGCACATCTTTTAATGTTTTTAAACTGTAGTATATATAAAAACCTAATGCAGCTTTCCTATTTAATAGTATGGTGGAGATATTACACGGAAAATGAAGCTTTTGAAGAGGCAAGCAGAAGGGAAGAAAAAGATGAGGAAAATTGGCAATGTGGAAGTGCCAAAAGATGCCTTTATAAGTGTTCTTAAGAGACAATCTGAAAAATAAGTGGCAATAAACTCTGCAACTATGATGCTTCATCTAGTTTTTGCTGGGCAAAAGGCAGGATGACAATAATATAACTTATGGCTTGGGGTATGTTAGCATGACCTGTCATGTTTAATTGTACATTTTTACATAGGGCCAGAGCTATAATGAGAACACATTTCAATTGGAAGAATACTTGAAGTCTACATTTCAGATTTTGCCATACACTATTTTGTAATATGTTCAAATGCTTGTAAATGTGACAAAGTAGAATTAGAATTATTTTGGGTTACATGAAATCCAGGCCCAGCAGGAGCTTGTTTCCAGATACTGCACTCTTAACCAACCCCCAACTTCCTTTTCTGACCACCTTCCCCTGAAAGTGCACTTTGGCTCTCAAATTCCTGGAACTACATTCTTTGGAGTTTAGGGTAATAATTGTTTTATGTAAGTACAAAGAAAAGGGCACACCAGTTCTACATTAGTGAAGCAATAGAACCTAAACACTTACTGCCTCAGCAAGAATAAAACAATTTAGGAATTGATAATTAGAGAAACAATACAGCTCTCCACTTGCACATAGATAATTAGCCCAGTAGTAGGAGATTATGTAAGGGACACTACTCATCGTATTTTACTCCTTTTCTGATCATCTACTTCCTGGATACAGGTAAATAGCAACTTGTAGGGCATACTTCTTGTCTAGGTCATATTGAAGATATGCACCTAATTTATAGCAAGAATTTGAAAAGCTTGAGATGCTTCTGAAGTATCTGTCTGTTTTGAAGTGTGTGGTGGGGAGGACACAGAGTTGTTATACATTTAGCTTTGTTTTTTCTTGAAGTCAGGGTAAATACCTGTATTTTGTGTTTATTAAAAGAGCCAGATCCATGATAAAACAGCATGGCATGGGACAATCAGAAATACTCCACTACAAACAAGGGCACACAGTCATTTAGAAATGCCATAGGAAATGTAAAGAAAGAAATCCAGTTATGAGCCTCAAAACAAATGTCTCTCACCTACCCATGTAAATCCTCTCCCCAGCAGAGCACAAACATAAACCAGCTGAACTGTATTGGTCCCAGAGCCCAAATCATGCCTGTCACTACCCTGCTGGTGACCTACTATTTTTTCCACCACAGCCAGCCACCTAACAGCTACAAAAATCTGGTTAGCTTCTACACTGGGAAAGTGGGATTGCTACTGAAGATGCTCTTGGCAACCGCTTTGGCAAGGTGATAAACACTATGGCATTTATCAGGCACAGCATGTCCCCTGAGACTTATCCATTAGAGGGTGGTTCTTCCTGCAGCTGATGCAGCCTGTTCTGTGGCTGGCCCATGTTCATCTAGGAACAACCCTAAGGTTACCTATAAATAATCCTGTCCGACCAACTCCAGCAACTGCCATACTGAAGCCAGGAGCCCCCACACCTGCCAAGTAAAAAACCAAACCATCAGAAAGTGGTCTATAGTTTTAAGAGGTGCTGAGGCCTGACGGTGATAGGCAACTCATGAGCTACACCTGCTGGTCATGCACTCTTGAATGGACATATAGTTTCCCTGGAAGATGTGCCATCACACATCTTGATACTTAAAAGGGCATCTATACTATTTACAAATGCTTTAGGTTCCAGTCAGAAAGTTCTGGGGACACTTACCTTTAGGGGAATCTTCCAGAAACTGGCCTGCATCACCCACTCATACAAAGACCTACACACAGACTGCACCCGGGGGGAGGAGGGGGGGAGGAGAGAAAGACTCTGCTCCTGTGAGGGAGCCTATGGCTGGGG